TTTTTTTTTGTAGATTCTGTCTCTCACAGTTGAGGCGTACCGACGATGAAAATTACAGATCTGTCCATTCTCTGTAAGTGGGACAACTTGAAAAATCAGCAGTGTATCAAATACTTATTTGCCCCACTGTACATGGGTGAAGAAATGTTATCTGCTTAGAACTACATTAATGTTACTTGCTATGCTGCTTATAAATAATAGGTGTGTGGGGTGGGGTTAAAATAAGGCATTAAGCCTACAAAATAACAGGTCAGGAATTATAGTGGTTACTTGGATACATGATGATTTGTACTGTGCTGTGTAGTCACAGTTTGCCAGCATGCAGCTTAGTTAATACCATAGACCATACTGAATATGGATTTGTACAAATGCATTTTTCAATCAATTTGTTTGGGGAAAAAACTGTAGGAGACCATGAGAAGAAGTTAAATTAGATTCCATCACTTTGAGCTTTTTGGAAAAAAAACATCTGACCAACAGTTCCTCATTGCCTCTCGGTTGTCAGTTAATCATTTACAACTTTGTGTGTTTTTTATGCAGGACTGTGATCTGGGATAAGAACAACACCAGCCCTCAGGGTCTTCAGGATGTAGCGGCTGCTCTGGAGAAGTAAGTAGGACTGTCCATTTATTTATGAGTATGTTGAGGCAAATCCTGACAGCTGCAGTGTGTTACGGTGCATGCTGAAGGAATGGGTATGTAGGAGCTGTTGCAGCCCAGATGTCATCTCATTTTGTGCTGAGCATGAGGAAACCCTGAGGTGTTTAGACAGGAAGAGAAGGAGCGAGGATGGGAGAGAGGGAGGAGTGTGACAAACACAGGGAATACAGCAACAAGGAAATATGAGGAAGGATGCTGAGGAAGGGAAAGGAGGAGAGAGCAGAGTAAGATAAACTATAGTTGAGACTGAATAAATCAGATATTTGCTGTAATTTCTGCTTATCAGTGTTCTGTGTGAGTGTAAAACGATGCGTGTGTCTCACTACATTTGGTTCTGGGACACGTCTGTATATCCACCTTTCTCTCCTGTCTCATCTTCTTTCTCTGTTTATCATATTCTCCCAGCAGCACCCCATCTTGTTTCCTGTCTGAGTCTCTGTGTTGCACTAGGCTAGGGGATGGGGAATGCATTATATCAACACATGTCCTCACAAAGACAGCTATAGAAATGTGTGTGTGTGTGTGTGTGTGTGTGTATATATGCATTTGTTGCCTTTAGTGAGTTTCCGCATGTCTCATATCCTTTGTCAGCAAATCTAGTATTTCATTCTTTCATGGTCTTTGTGATGGTTGTTGTGGTTGTTTTTTTGAACTGGAGTTTATTATTGTTTGTGGATACTGGTTTGTTCTGTTGCTTGTCTCACCAGCACTGTTTTTAAGCAGACATACATTTCAAGGACATACAGGACCTCTGTCACAGCTTGATCATGTAAATAAGATAAAATGTGATGAACAAGTGTAGAGATGATGTAACGGCACCAAGCAGTTGCAGTTTGCCCCCACACATATGCAGTGAACGAGTACAGAACATAGTTGATATGCCAAAAAATTTTCACCACATGTCTGTAAACAAAAATACACAAAGAGAATTCATTAGTCCCTCTGAGCATGTTTTTCTTGTACCACCTCTGTCTCAAAGCATCCGTTAAGTGTTTTCAAATCACAACAGCATTTTTGATGTAGCTATAAAATGAAAGAATGCCATTTAATGGTGATGATGGAAGTGGTAGTGTGTAGAAATTGAAGGACTTGGCCGTGGTCACAGCAGATCTGTCGGTTAGAGATGAGGGAGGAGAGTAGACAGGTTCACACACAGGTCAGATCTTTGTTTTATTATTTCCTTTCCTTCCTTCCTTTTATCCACCAAGATAAGAATATTAATACTGTGTGGGAACCTCTCTTTCAAGACCAGTAACCCCTCTAGTGGTACCAGCTCATTGCTTTCTAATAGACTAGTGTAAGTGCAGCTGAGGTGTTTGGCCTCATCTAATGATGCCGTTACCACACACACACACACACACACCACAATCAGGGGCTCATCAACCACAGCTTCTTCAAATTCCCCATAATTTAAATGGCTTGATATTCATAATTGAATGTAATGAATGAGATTAATATTGCCTTTCAAAATTATTGTCCAGAAATTGATGCATTTCACTGTTTACTTTTGTACTAGTGAGTAAAACCACAAATCACTTAACTGCATCGCATTGTTTTATATCTTCATGTTTATTGATGTACAGTTCTGTTCACCTCTATACTGTGTTCTGTCTGTTTCCCTTCCTCCATACTGAGAACTAACCCCGATTGTGTCCATTAGGAACTTCACCATTCGTTTCATGCCCATCCCCATCATCGATGCCTCCCAGGCTCTGAAGGCCAGTCCTGAGAAAACGGAGGATGCTTTGCTAAAGGTACAGTACAGTATAGTATATTTACAGTTCCCATTGGTTCAGCATGTTGATGTGTTTTCACAGTGTATAAAACATACTGTACTGTATATAAAGCAGGAAACCAACAGCAGCACCAACCTTCAAAACAAGTTAAATAAATATACATACACATGTATTTATCAGTTTAATTTATTATCATAAGAGGCTTTGTGTTGTTCCTCCAGATTGAGAGTTATCTGTACAGGAACCAGGAGACCAGGAAATACCTGCAGGAACAGGCCTATCGGCTTCAGCAGGGCATTGTGACCATAACCACACAGCAGGTATGTGCACAAACTGAGACAAGCATACACACTTGCAGTATGATGTCATATCCCCTGTAATATTAAAAAAAGTTATAATAGTATTGCTTTGATTGTCTAATGGTAATTTTAATTCAATAGTAATTTTAACCCTTTGAAGACGCATATTGGCTTTTATGTTTTGTCGATTTTCTCTTCCAGATGATTGACAGGGTTTGTGTGAAGGTGCAGGACCACCTGAACTCTCTGAGGAACTCTGAGACAGATGCCATCCTGGAGGACATCCGGTCCGCAGAGAACCTCATCAAAGATGCCAGGAACTCTAAAACAGTAAGAAGACACATATCATACCTGGGATTTGTGAATGTAAATTAAAACTTATCTGCAACTGTGGATTTTTATATTTATTTTAGTAAATTGACCAAAAAAACTGAGACAAAGACCTGTCATCATCTTCCTCTCTGTGTCTCCCCCAGCTGCTCCCTAACCTTTACCACCTTGGATCAGTTTCGAGAGAGGAGGTGAACAGCTCATCAGTGGGGCCCATCCAGGAGAAACTGGAGTCTATGGCTGGGGAGATGACTACTGTCATGGACCAACAACTACAGGTAAACTTCTAACCCTTACTCTTCAGGATAACTGCTAAGAGGCTGAAATATCTGTGGCCAACAATCTAAACTCTGACTGCAGATCTGGAAGGGATATTATAGTTTATATACATGTATCATCATATACTGCATCTGCAGAAAAAACTGGCAGTTGGGCGCCACCTGCAGACACCAAGTTAACCAACAGGAACTCAAAGGAAAAAAGTCATACTTAGACATACTTGGGAATTCAAGGAAAAAAGCCTAAGAAGTCATCACTTTACCTAACATGCTAGTAGATTATCAGAACCAAGGGTTTGTTTAATCAGACCTCCCCTCGTCGTCTTTCTCCTTTCAGACTCTGTTGGAATCTATGGTGGACACAGCTGAGTCTCTGTGTCCCCACGTGATGAAAAAGAGTAATCTTCGTCCAGAGCTAATGAAGGCCAGCTCAGCCAAGATGGCTGTACCCAAAAGCTTTGTCACTAAAACCCTCTTGGAGCAGTCTGGGGTGGATATTATAAACAAAATGAGGTGTGTGTGTGTGTGTGTGTGTGTGTGTGTGTATGTACTGTACATCTATGTTAAGTGTTTAGGGTAGTTACTTGTATATCCTCTCACAGCCTTGTTTTGTCCACTGACTGTTGCTCTTTTTCTCCCTCTGTCAGTGAGGTGAAGCTGAGTCTGGCGTCCTTCCTGTCTGATCGCATTGTTGATGAGATTTTAGAGGCTCTTTCCACTTCACAGCACACACTGGTAAGGTTTAAATTATCAGCGCTCTCAGCTACATGCGATGATTCAGTGGCTTTACATAATCTGTAATCTCTTCAGCTACATCCAACTTCACTGAACCACTTCGAAGTTGTAGGCATTTCAAAAACTGTTAGGCCAATTCTAATGTCTTTTTGAAAGTCTTTCTAGTATAGTTTCATAATAGAAAGACCAAAAATAGTAAAGCACAATGAGTCTTTTGCCACCTTTGTTTTTAATCTTGCCTTCTCGCATCACATCTCCTCTCTCCTTCTTTTCCAGGCCGACCATCTGGTCCTTCGAGGTCGCCCTCTGGTGCAGCAGGAGTCTGTGGATCTGGACGTCCCAGAGGAGAAGATTCCTAAACGAGCATCAACTGAGATCCTGGAGGATCTGGAGACATGCATGGTAGGTTTGGATGGGTTAACAGATGTGTTTGCAACATACTTGATCCCCAGAGTTTTAGCTGATTAGAGCTGGCAAAGAACCAAGAGTTTTAACAGATTTTTATTTGTGAAGAATCAACACAAAGTGTCTTAACAAGGCATTAGGCATTAACCAAGTGTGGGGTGTGGGTGTGGAGAGAGGTTCTGTCTTATGGTTCATGCACTTGGGGATCTTAAATCTTTAATCTGACTGGATTTACAGTGTGATGAATTGACTAAAATACAACACCTTGCCACTAAACTTAAATGGCTGATTACATAAATACAGGAATTAGCCATTATGGGACAAAACAGACATTTGACGAGGATTGATTTTTTTTTTTTTTTTTTGTAATAAAAGCAGCTTGTGTTGCTTTATACTCTACAGTCGACTGTTAATGTTGGCCTAACAATAGTGTATGAGAGTAGATGCTGTGGAGACATGTCTGAGTCCAACAAGTCCAAGGTTTTGTCTTCTAAAAATGTTTTTTTGATTCCATGAACTCTGTGGAAGAGGAATAACAACTGGAAATCGTGTAACAGTTGTGTATAGCGGTGTAGCACACACTTCCTTACCCTAGACGAGAAAGATGGTGTCCAAGTTCATTTAACTGGTCTTTGAATCCTTATAGCTTGAACTGCTTACTGTTGTCCTAAATGCAGTCAACAGCAAGCTGCATCTGTGTTCCTGTCGTTTGTCTGGTCTCTGGCTAAATACACCTCCTGTTCCCTCTTTTCATCTTTTGATCCTCTCTGTGATATCTACCTCCCTTTTCTGCTGTAAAAAGGCTACCTGTAGAGTTCAGAGCTGCCATGGCTACCTCTCTGTTTTCCCCTTCTGGCTAAAGAAATCTGTGTCTTTACCTTCAATCTTTTCCTATTTTCCTTCTTCTTTTTCTACCTTTGCCCCATGGAGACTCTGTGCTGCACCAGTGTAAGTAATTCTGGATAGTCCCTCTGTATTTCCCTTTCTGTCAACTTTCTCTTTGCCCCACTTTGCCTCACTCTTTTTCCACTTCCCTGCGTCTCTGCCGGATAAACTGTCCTCTGTGTTGCAGCTTTTTCTATAGTGCAGGGAACCTCCTGGATTTGGTCATTTGATCCCGTTGATTTATTTTAAAGAGCATAGAAAAACCACAGTACGAGCACAGGAGGATGCATTTATTAATTCACTTTCCAAATTATATTTCACATTTAATGTAGATAACTAAATTGTTTTTCCCCTAAAGCTTCCAGTCACATTGCACCACTCCACTATAGTATGTCATCACCACTGTACATCAGTGTTGTTAATGCATTTACTGTCTATCAATATATTAAGACAGTAAAATTCAGAGTTATACATTTTATCAGCTTCAGAAAGTGTTCCGACCTTCACTTTGTGCACACTGAGTTGTAGATTTAATTTAAAGTTGATAAAATTGTCATTTTCACCCTCAATCTACACACAATAAACCACACTCCAGCAGCTACAGGTTTGATGCTTATTGGCTTATTTTTAACATATCCTGTTTGTTCTTTTGTTTCCAAGAATATTACTTTTGTCTTGTATATGCACACGCATACCTGGATTATCCTTCAGAACTACCTTTTAAGAGTTGCCAAAAAAATCTATTCTTCTCTTCAGATGACTCCTAAATCAAAAAGGAAGAGCATCCACAGCAGAATGCTTCGACCGGTGTCTCGTGCATTTGGTAAGCAGTTTATTATAAATAGGATGTTATCTTTCTGATTCATACAGTAAAAAGCTTACCTAATGTCTTTTTCTAATCTTTCTGTATGTGGTCTTTTAAATAAGTCATCAATACTGACGCAACTTAGACTAGATAAGAGTGCAACTGAATATTCAACACACATCTAATTACAAACCCACAGAGATGGAGTTTGACCTGGACAAGGCCCTGGAGGATGTGCCGATCCATGTGGAGGACACTTCTGCTTCATCTCAGACTCCGCCTACTCCGTCTCAGGCCCTGCCCAAACTGGAGCAACGTCCACCAGGAGCGATGGTGGAGCTGCCATCTGAGGAGGAAAAAAAGCTGCAGCACTTCACAAAACTACGACCACGGAGGAACAAGAAGACACATTCCAGCAAAGTTCCTGTGAGTAAAGTTTAGCAAGAAAGCAAAAAAAATATTTTTTGAAGTTCCATATAACTTCAAGGGGAGGACTGATTAAATGTACTTGGAATAAAAATAAATAAATAAATAAATCAACAAAAAATAGCTTTTCTGCCCTAATTTTTTTCCATGAATGGTGCCAGAATTGGACAAAATGAACTAGTGGCACATTCTGCACAAGGTCTGAAAATTTGGATGACTGTCTGATGATCCAAACATGATATCAGATTGTTCAAGTTTTTCTTTCAGCAAATCAACAGTGCTCTGTCTCAGGATGGGGAGCAGAACGGCCTCATGGGAAGAGTGGATGAGGGTGTAGATGAGTTCTTCTCTAAAAAAGTCACCAAGATGGATTCCAAGTAAGGATTATGCTGTTTATAATTTTCTCATTGAGAACTGTCCTGCATATACATTTGTTTCCAGCAAAGGTGTAATAATACATTGCTCCTAATGTACTGTACTGACCTGAAGTTTCACATATATGTAGAGTACAATTAGGGTTTTGTTTTTCATCCTCCTCTCAGGCGTTCCTCAAAGAGCTCAGAATCTCAGGATGGAGAGAAGAAGAAGAGTAAAGGAGGATTCCTCAACCTCATCAAACGATCTGCCAAATCCGATAAGTCGGACAAGTCAGAAAAAAACCAGGCGACACCTCTGTCCTCCAGTACAGCTCCTGGAGGTTCAGCACCAGCTTCCACTATCCCAGAGGAGCCCTTGTCACCAAAGGTGGCGGTAAAGAGCCCTACATCAGAGCCAAAGTCCAGGTATAGATGAATCATATTTGATTATCTGCAAAACAAATCATTCTCAACCTACCAGTGTGATCCATTTTACCAGTATGTTCTGTCACCGATGCAGAGACGCCTCCAGCCGCTCACAGCCCACAGACTACAGCAGCTCCTCAGACCGATCCGAGGAGCTGAGGACACCAGACTCCATGGACGAACCTTGGGAGGGTTCAGACGGCAGGGGCAGTCCTCAAGGAGGCAGGCGGTACCCAGGAGTGCAGGTGATGGGCAGCGGCCTCCTAGCAGAGATGAAAGCCAAGCAGGGGAGGAGAGCACACAAGGTGAGGTGAAAGAGAACACACAGAAATACTGGGGTGACAGGAAAAATGGAGTAAGGAAAATGAGAAAGCAACATGTCTAACACATCATTTCAAGAGATTCAAACATTTAGTGTCCCTTAATGTGCCTTTTATACCAGTGGAAATCTTCCATCTGTGGATTTGAAACTTAAAAATTGTTCAAAAATGGAAAAAAAAAAAAAAAAGTCATTATTGGCCCCAATCCAAGTCCATTACTTAACCAGCATTGAAGACATGTATTCTTTTTAATAAAGAAAATCTGCACTTTAAAATGATTCTTAAATCTAGTTTAAGACAATGGAAGACTTTCCATGTTAATAATTGAAATCTATTTTTAGTCATTTTAATGTCAAAAGGTGACAAAGAAGGTTAGTGTTATGATTTGTGTAAATAAGGACAGACTTGTTATGGTGTCAAAGGGCTATGGGTTTTCAGACTATTCTGTTCAGCACTCACCACCTGTAGCTGTTATCTGGGAGAATACGTAAACTAAGAAGCATTCTCGCACACACAGACGCGTATCGCTGCTGAACTTGTGTTTCTCTTCAGGCTAGTCACTGTTCCTGTCAACATGTGGACATAAAAACACAAACAACCCCGACTCCCTGCCAGATGACAAAGTGAGAGGAGGAGTAGGGAGAGAAGTGCAGAGTGGAAAAGATGCAAGCATAAACTGCAAATGGTCCGAGATTTGAGATGCTAATTTTCTGACAACTCACAACAAGACACCAAATTCTCTGAACTGCCTTAGACTAAAAGTGTTCCAGATTCCTGCACCGCATTCTCCCTCCCACACTCACTTACCCTAAAGCCAAAAATGTAAAACTGAAATAAATCATAGAACGAGTTAACAGAACTACTGAGAAACTCACATTGCAAGAGTTTAATAAGGGACATCACTGTAAGATTTGTGTCATATTTGTGTGCATCAGTGTGAGTTGGTGTTCGGTCCTGTAAGTTTGTTCACTAGTTGTATAGCTAGTCTCTTACCAGTCCCTAAACTGTGTGTGTACATTTATGCATGTGTGCCTGGTGTTGGCCTATATATGATTATGAATTTTAGGATGATAACTTGATTTAAGGTTAGGAGGAGGATTAAGGTGGGTTAAGTCTCCAGTAAATAAATGCAAATCAATTTAAAGTCCCCATAAGGGATGGAAACAAATCTGTGCATGCACAAGCAGTAAGAGGAAGCATTAGCCTGTGTTTTTCTGACCTTGAATAAAGCCTCTCCTGCCATCTGCTTGTTCTGGCTGGCTTCCAGATCTGTGTCTGTCAGTTTTTCTATATGTAGGTAAAAAGATGCGCTTTTCCTAAAGCAGGTCATAGATACAAAGCTTGTGAGTGTGAGCTGTATTTGATTTCTAACACAAAGGCGCCCCCTTCTGATAATACGTTACTTGATCCTTGCAATCAGTATTACAACACTGGACTTCCTCTCACTGCTAGAATAAAAGCTTGATACAGGCATACAAGTACATATGGAAATAAATGTAACGTAAAATATACAGACTGGAAAAGCTGGTGTTAGCATTGGGTTTTTTTTTTCATACTCACTTTTACACTGGAAACATGAAAACGAAGATTTTCATCCATCTGCATTAATGCATGTAGTAATCCAGCATGGTGTCCTTGTTTCTTTCAGTCGTCCAGCCCTGACAGACCCGACAACACAACAGGTGAGCTGTTTATCTACATTTTTCTTTTTTTTTTTTTTTTTTAATCAAACAGTTGCATAACAGTGTTTGTTTCCAGCTCACTCAAACCAGCTGGCTAAGATCTCCATAAGTACCACCATGTGACTGTAAACATACAGTGGGTACGGAAAGTATTCAGACCCCCTTAAATTTTTCACTCTTTGTTATATTGCAGCCATATGCTAAAATCATTTAAGTTCATTTTTTTCCTCATTAATGTACACACAGCACCCCATATTGACAGAAAAACACAGAATGTTTGACATTTTTGCAGATTTATTAAAAAAGAAAAACTGAAATATCACATGGTCATAAGTATTCAGACCCTTTGCT